TATATTCACTGATGAATGAAAGTTAGATTGAAGTAAAAATGAGATGAGGAGCCAAGATTTTTTTTTTTTTATTTAATCTTTTATTATACTGCTGGCTAGCAAATCATTATGTAATTTACTATTAAGTCCTGCATAAAAGATGTTTATGTAAATTAGGTTGAGGAATAAAGTACTGTGCTGGAAATTCTGAACATACTCCTGACAAATTGGCATATATTATATTTAAAATGCTGTTATTTACAATTACAGAATTATCAAGGAAAAAAATTACTATTATGTCATTGTCATTACAGATTTCATCAGAAGTATACCTTTTTAGCCACATTAAAGGGAAAAAACACCAACAAGCTGTGAGAGAAAACAGTAGTATACAAGGACGAGAGCTTTCAGATGAAGAAGTGGTAAGTTTTGTAATATTTTTTTCTATATTACTTCCAGTTTTAAATGCCATCCAGCTGAGTAGCCTAAGAAGGTCTTGAAAATTCTGACAAAGGAATTAAACAATATTTGTGTTAGCATGGGAATAATAATGCCTTTTTAAACATAGACTACCAGTGAAAAGGAACAAAACAAACAGTGGATTCAAATACTTGAGGCAACTGCCATTTGAAATACATTGTGTATAAAATGCGACTAATTGCTTTCCTATTAATCCAAAGGTGGTTTTCATCTCACTATATTTATCTTTTCATCATAAAAATCTCATGTGTTGCAGGTGTCTGCATTTTGCTTTACTTTGTTGTTGTTGTTCCTTCCTGTTGCTTAAAATATCTTAGTCCTTTTTTAGGTTATCAGATGTGCTGTCCTATGCATCAAGGTCAGTAATGCTGAAAATTGTAGTGCTAAATTACTTTAAAATGTAAGAGTGAAAACACTTTGCAAGTATTAGCGTTTCTAGAAAGAGCAATAATTAGTTTTTCAGTGGCTTCTTTAGAAGAATTGGCACTTAGGGTGATTTTTAGGTAGCATTGAGGACATTTTATACTAAAGAAACTATGCTGTTTTGAAGAGATTTCTGAATCGTTATCTGATTTAATTTCTTGTTGCTGCTGCATGAATTGAGCTACAGTATTAAGTCAAGGCCTTTTCTACGAGACAGATTATAAGTCAGACTTTGAGTTCTGTCTTATCCGAAGAATTTGTGAATGCCTGTGTATTATATCTGTCAGATGTTAGGAAGAAATACTGTACAAGCCAATTCCCCAGAGCTGATTCAGATTTAACTTCACTGTCTGGAAATCTGTTGCCAGCCAAGCTGATTCAAATGACACTGCTCAGTAGTTCTAATTTTTGGCTGTTTCCTTCTTCCTTTTGTAGTTCTTGTGACTATTTTTATTTGTTGAAATCTTCCCTTTGTTTACAGCTTCTTACATCCAGTAGTAACACCTTTTCTTTTCCTTCTTAAAAAGCTTTGGAGAGTTAAGTCTCTGAGGTACTGAAATCCACAGAGGTGGTTATCACTGGAAAAGGAGAAAGAAAATCTGAGAGATACAGTAGTCTGGAGGAATAAATTTTTGCTGAGTTGCAGTTTGCCTACCCCATCCTAACTGTACCAAAAATACATAAACTATTTTTTCAGTTTCTCTTTTCCTTTTTCAGAGTGGCTAGTGGAAGTTGTATAGTTTTGGATTTGGTTTTACATGCCAGGTTTACCTAATTGGATATATGGGAGAAGGCTTCATACTGCATCCGTTTTCTTAGAAATATAAGCTATGAGATTTACCAGAATCTTTCATGTTGGTACACGCACCAAAGTGTGGGCAATCTATAATATTAACATTTTCTTGTATCTGTCTAGCCTTTGCTTGTATCTGTCTAGCCACTGATAATTGAACTATGGTTCTTGCTGGGCAACTGTCTTGGATGAATATGGAGGAAAACAGTGAACTAGATTTTCTTTTGACTGGGTGTTATACGCTATTCACAACATGTAATTTGATAGCTTAATAATTCCAGCTTCCAGAAAAAGGGATCACATTGTAACAGCTGCATTTGTGCCCAGTGGATGAAAAAGAAGTTCCACTAGAGGGCACAGATATCTTGATTTTTGTGGTGTTCAATGTCATATGCTGAAATCCAGTGTTGTTCAGCAAAACATTTTGATGTGAACTTAAGATCAAGGTTAAGGTTAAATGTATGGGATTTCTTGAATGCATGCTTAGTGCAGGAGCAAAAGGAGAGAACAGTTTTGACTGAATGAACAGCTTGATGATTACAATAGCAGATTTAAACATCCTGAATCAAGAAGTATTTGGCATACTGGCAACGTACAGATACCTCCATTGTTAGATATTTAATATATTATTTATAGCTATATTTTAATTAGTCCAAGTATACAGTTCTGAACTATACTATTGTAATCTGAAATTTCCTTGGCCTGAGGCCCTCTGTTTTGTTTTGGCTTTTTTTCAAAGAGCAGTAGACATACATCCTAGAGTTTTGGTCACTGTAAAGTAGAAAAGTAATTTATTTATCAGAGCAGTCTGCTTTGTGTACTTTTTATTCAGCATCTGTAGTTAATGCCAAACTTTGCTTCCCCACAACTAAAGCATTCAGTAACTTTAGGTAAGTTTTGAAATACTTCAGAAAAAATTTCCAAAGTATTATACAGAAGTAAAACTGTATTCCAGGGAAGCATAATAGTCATAGCTACTTACTCATCGCTGTTTTCAATTTTTTAGTCAGTGAAGGTATCTGTAGTGAGAACACACTTGCACTACTTAAAGTTATTACTTGTCATCTGTGATGTCTTTAGATTATATACATCTTCTCTGTGACCCTTCTTCTTTGACATAAAAGATTTTATTTATATCACCTTTGACCTAATAAAATTTCACCTTTAACCTTATGCACTTGACACCTCAGATAACTTACTCTTGATCTTTGACTCATTTTGTGTTAAGCCTGTTAAGTGTAATAGGTAGCTGCCTAGAAAGAAAGCTTTTTTTAAAATTGTAATCTGACCATAGAATTTCTTTATTATTACTTGAGAAATCACAGAAGGACTTGAAATATGTTTATTTTGACCATATTGGTATGACAGAAGGTTTAAGTATCTCCTTAAGACTTTGGAAACTGCTTTAAGTAAGTGATCAAATAATATGTCTTCATACTGTAAGGATTTTTGTTGGTTGATTTGACTGTAAGCAAAAAGTTAAAAGCTGTACTGAACGATCATTGACACTAATTTCTCTGGGCCAGGTGGATGTTGGTAGTTGATCTTGCCAGGCATAAAAAGAAACTACTATATTCTAGGTTTTTTCCCTTTGCTATAGCATGTATAGGTTCTGTAATTTTACAAACATTTTCAGAGGTAAAAGTGGACTTCATGTTGGAGCAGTTTTCCGTTGTTCAGGAATTAAGCATATATTGTGCTAAATTCCAGCATGTATTGTGCAAGAGCTGACAGCTAGTATTAGATTATCAGTAAGATGAATTTGCTTGTAGATGCAATAAATTCGGTGAAACTCACAAAGAAAATAGTTTTGTTATGAATAAAAATACTAAAAATGAAAAAGCATGAAGTTATTTCTAAGATCGTATGACAGCTTCATTTCATCTCAGCTTTTTGGGTTCTCTTCATTTGTGTGTTTATTAGTCTCCAGCTGAAAAGGATGTAGATTTCTCTTAAAGCAAAAATCTATTGATTTTGAAACAGTGGTTATCATGTAGAAGCGAATTAAGTTCTGTTCACATTTTTTTGCTTCCTTTTTAATTTTTCTTTTGTCCAGTCTCTTGTAAATACATTCATTCGTGTAGATGGCAAAACTCTTTCAGCAGGGTAGGCTTCAGGCTAAAAGTTGTCTTTCCTTCATTACATTTCTGAAACTTGCAATGTAATCACTGTCCCACATCATTTCACCATTCATTACATTTCTGAAACTTGCAATGTAATCACTGTCCCACATCATTTCACCATTATCTTCAGTGCAGTAACAATGTTCTGTTATGTTTTCTCTCTCTGCTTAAATGCATATCGTCTTCCATCAAACTTACAAACTTCTTTTTCCATTGCTATTTTCTATGCTATTGATTTCCTGTCCCCTCTCTTAATATTCATATTACTTTTAGTCCAGCAAAAGATGTAAACAATGTATGCAATTTGGTTTCATTGACTTCACTGGAATCAATTAGTATGTTTGAATTTATGACTAATTGTTTTGCTGAATCAAAGCCTGTGTGACACAAAGGGCTTTTGACACAAAGGCCATCACTGAAAAGGTGCCTGCTGAAAGCCATAGACAACACATGGCGATTTCATTAGACTGAGGAGTCTCTGCAAGGACCTTGTAGATGTTTGCTCCCACCTGTAGGTCCTAGATTATTTATTCATTTTTATGTCCCTCTGCTTTCCCTTTTTTCTTTGCCTTTCTTGTCTATCCTAGTTTGCTTTGAGAAGTACATGTAACGTCAGTAATCCTTACAGCTTGCTTTCTTTGAACCATTGTCCTATCTCTTGTCTGTATCTCCTGTCATTTAAATACTGTGGCTTAAAGGCACTTTTAGAGTATAAATCATGTAATTCCATGCAGTCTATGAATGTTTCTAATAATTGAAAAGTACTTCTAAAAAACATATGAAATCTGTAACTTGGCAGAGGTTTGGTTAATTTATATAAGGTGCATGCTAGAGTTTTATGTATTCCAAAGCAAGATGGAGGAATATTAATGAACCTTTGTTTGCGTATGTGAAAAATAGGCTTTTTTTTTAATCAGGGAAGAAAACTGACTCTATTATCATGATATAAATGAAACGCAGAACTTCTTAGAGGTATATTTAGATCAAATGAAAATACAGTCCTGTGATGGAGCAAAGAGATTGTTGTCTGAAGATTGACAGCATTAAAATGTGAGGATTTATAGAAGGGCATGGTTGGTTGAGCCCACCCACATTCCTTTAAAAAAAAAAAAAAAAAAACCAACCCAAACAAACCAACAAAAACCCACCAAAAACACCCAGATAGTCAGCGACTAAAGCTTACTCTGTGGGTTGTCAAGTTGGCTGGGGTTGCAGTGCAAGCCTTTTCTGGCATAGGTCTGTGTAGATTGCAGGGGGGTCTGATTTACAATGTGCGTAACTGTGCTGGCAAGCTCCCCTGGTACAGACACTGTTACACGGGCAGGATTACGCTTTTGCCAGAATGTGGTGAGAGACTGCCTGAGAAAGCGGAGTTGTGCTCGTGCAAGTTCTGTTCCAGCCATGTAAAGTTTATAGCTAGTGCAACGCACACGCAAGGTTTGTTGTTCATACGAGTTTGAATTTCTAAAAGCCTTTCAGGGGCAAGCGGTTGTTTTTCTTTAAGAAATCGAGCTGTTTGCTCAAAGTTGTGTGCTGCTTCCATTATTTCTTACAGAGGAAATTACTGAAGGAAGGAGATGTGGGAATGTTTTCATGCCTGACC